CTGCCTCCTGCACGTCACAGCTGATAGGGTTCCTGGCTGGCTGCTTGGAGTAACTGCTTCTAGAGGTGAGAGCTGAAGGCCGGGAATTAGGTTCTTATTCATGAGCTGCAGGGGACCTACGGGGCAGCGCAAGGTTCAAGGTTCATGAGAAAGCCACCACAGCCATCTGGGTTGAGGGAAACCAAAGCAGCTTTGGATGATTCTAGAATGCCCCTCCCCCACTCTGAGTCACTGCTTGCTCTGGAGAGGGAGGAGATATGTTGGGATCACTTTTGTCTTCTGTGCCGCCCAGGGTGACCAAGTGGGAGCGTTTTGTGGGTCTTAAATGCTCTCAGCTGGGCGTTTCCATAGCACGTCGCCATGGCACCCAGGAAAGCAAGGAGCACGCACAGGCAGAGGTGGGCGGGGACGGGCTGGGTGCTGTGTGAAATGGCCTGCTGCCACGCTGGCATGGCATGGGCCACGGCTGCGTTCTGGCCTCTATACTTTGCAGAAGGCTCAAATCTCCTCTCCTCCCCCCGCCCCCGACGTTCCCCTTGTGGGGTGAAGATCCTCACTTGGCCTAGATTTCCAGGGTCTGCCTAGTGAAGTTGTGGCCTGTCTCCATAAGGAGTTAGTGTCCTGGAAAAGGAGGTCAGGAAAGTCAGCTGTGGTTCCTAGACAGAAGGGGCAGCCACGTGTCACTCGCCGACTAGGGCTCTGCTGCAGCCCTGTGCTTGTGCCAGGGGCTCAGAGCAGCTGACCCGCTCAGGACACACTGCAGAGATGTGGGCTCCTCCCCGGGGCCTGGCAGTCCCTGCCTGGGCTGGCCATCCAGGCCGTGTGCTCAGGGAGTATCTCTCCTGCCGGCCCCCCAGAATTGGGATCCGTGGGGAGACACTGGGGGCTCCTGCAGCCCCTGCAGTTGTGCTCCCCCACCTCCCGTGGTTCCTGGGTGTGATCTGTGCTACTCTCAGCTGTTCCCAGCTTATTTGAGTGAGTGGAAATCTTAAAAATAAAACACCACTTCCTCCCCCAGCACAGAGGCTGCCAGGCTCTGCTAACGAGGCCAGGGCCCCTCGCAGACACTCCACTCCAGGGAGCAGGGGCGTCGACGTGAAGGAGGCCTTGCAGCCTAAAAACCCAGAAACCGTCTGTAGGGTGGGTAGCCGGCCAGCTCCTGGGGCCTGTTTGGAAGGTGCTGTTCTGAGGGTGAGGACACCCAGGGGGCCTCACGTCCTGGTTTAAGTCGCTGTCCCGGGGTAACTGTTCCACGCGGTGCTTTCTCCTCCAGAGGCCATGCAGTGGACAGCCTGCAGGAGGCCAGTGCTCTGGGCAGCCCCCACCACCTTCCTTTTCTCAGGGCTTGGAATTCTCTTGTCTAAGCATCTCCTGCTGAGCCCCCTGTGGTCCTGGCCCCAGTCACCCACCATGCCCCCAGGCTTGGCCAGCACTAGAGCAGTCCCCAGGGAGGGCAGGATGTAGTGGCCCCAGGACAGGGGTGGATTGGGGATCTCTCAGTCCTGTCTCAGGTACCTTGCACCAAGCCCAGCTCCTGTAGGTGAGGTCAGGGACCCAGGGAGGTGCCCTCATCTCGGGCTGGCTGAAGCCTGAAGGCCACAATGCCAAAGTCCGACAGTTCGGGGGTTGGGGGTAAAGACATCCAGAGGGCAGAGCGGAGTGTGGGGCCCCCCAGGAGCTTCAGGCTGCTACTGGGTGTTGCTTTGGGAATGGCGCAGGGGCGTGGGGATGTTCATCTCTAGCCCCCTCTTTGAGCACAGACCCCTATCTCTCTGAGCATGCCCTGCTATCCTCGAGGTCGGAGAGGAGCCAGCACCAAAGCCAGAGCACGCCTGGGCCAGGCGCCAGGCGCCTCTTCCGTGGCTGCCACATGCAGCAGGAGGAGTCACCCCACTCACAGCCTGGCCATGCCCTCCACAGCCCCCAGGGGTGCCCCTGAATCTGACTGGCTCCCTCCCCACTCCCTGGAGCAGGAGGCTCATGGGCAGGAGGCCCTGGCAGGCACACGTTGCATAACCAGAGGAAAAGTACCTGGAGTGCTGTGCTGCAAGGGGTGGGGACAGGGAGGGGCCACAGACACTGCTCCAGCTGCCCTGAAGGGCCTCTCACCTGTGTCCAGATTTCTCCCTCTCCAAGTGCCTTCCTGCGCTCCATTCAGGCAGAGCCAGTGGCCAGGCCCTGAGGCCACTCAGGAGGGCCAAGGCCTATTCATTGAAGCTGGGGCCTTGATTAAGGGGGTGGGAGTAGACAGACGCCTACTTTGCAGCTCATTTAAGATGCCCTCCCAGAGGGGAGGGGCTGGAGTTCAGCTTGGGAAGGTGGGGTGGTCAGCAAGAGCAGAGGGAGGGTGGGGTCCCATGTTTGGTGACAGGGCTGGACAGGCCCTGGCTTTGGGGACGGTGTGGCTCGCTCTGGCTGGTCCTCGTCTCTGCCCCCCCCTCCCTGACCTGCATGGGGAGGCTGCAACAGCCTGCTCTGTGCCCCCCTCCCAGTCTCCGCCCCCCCCCCCCCGGGAGGCTGCAACAGCCTGCTCTGTGCCCCCCTCCCAGTCTCCGCCCCCCCCCCCCCGGGAGGCTGCAACAGCCTGCTCTGTGCCCCCCTCCCAGTCTCCGCCCCCCCCCCCCCGGGAGGCTGCAACAGCCTGCTCTGTGCCCCCCTCCCAGTCTCCGCCCCCCCCCCCCCGGGAGGCTGCAACAGCCTGCTCTGTGCCCCCCTCCCAGTCTCCGCCCCCCCCCCCCCGGGAGGCTGCAACAGCCTGCTCTGTGCCCCCCTCCCAGTCTCCGCCCCCCCCCCCCCGGGAGGCTGCAACAGCCTGCTCTGTGCCCCCCTCCCAGTCTCCGCCCCCCCCCCCCCCCTGAGCCAGACCCCCCTGGCGGGGGGGGCTGGTGAGTCAGGCGGGGGAGGCCGCCCCCTCACAGGCCTGGCCTGCCCCCTGCTGGTAAACAGGCCTTCTCCAGAACAGATTCTACAAACATTCTGAACAGCGATCCTAGTGGATCGGGGGTCTGTGCCCTGTGTGGACAGTCTGCTGCAGGCTGGGTGGCGGTCCAGCCCGAGGAGGGTGGGCACAAGAGGAGAGGTGAGACAGGAAGAGAGCTAAAAGATCTTCCTGGCGGACGAGGAGCCGGCTCCCTGCAGATGCATCAGGGAAGGGTCTGGGGGTCTGCCTCTGGGGTGCTCCTGTCTCACCCTCGCCGGCCACCCAGTTTCCTTGGCATTTTGTGAAGGAAAGTTCTCAATCTACAAAACCAGAGAAGGATCCCATCCCCCCAGCATCAAGGAACTGTGGGCAGTGCTGGGTCCACACCAGGCCACCACCATAATCTGCCAGCCAGGGTCATGGGAGGGGGCAGTGGGGTTGGGGGGACAACACACTTCTCCCATGAGACAGGGCGGTGGTGGGGGATGGGGGCAAAACCCTGTCTGGGACTGTCGTGATCACGTGATCACTTGCCCCCACATCCCGTGGGCTACTGGGAGTCACATGGCTGAGCCCAGCACCCATGGGCCCCCGGTGGGTGGGGCCAGTAGTTATGGCCTCAGGGAGGGGTGGTGGTCCCCACCCTGCCGGTAGTTACCTCTCTTCTCCCTCCTGTCCTCTTTCCCCCAAGCCCCCCACTCCCGTTCCCTGCATGCCGTGACGCGTCTGAAAGACTTCCTCCTTCAGCCCGGCCTTTCTCCATCTGCGTTTGCTTGTACTGTTTTTATGAGACTTTTTCAATTGTGGTAAAATGCACATAACTAATACAACTACGTTCTAACTGTTTTTAAGTGCACAGGTCACAGGCATTAGGTACATTCACGTTGTCGTGCAGCCGTCACCTCCGTCCATCTCCAGAACCTTTCCGTCTTCCCAGACCGGAACTCTGTCCCCATTAAACACCAGCTCCTCATCCGCCTCCCCAGCCCCTGGCACCCACCCTCCTGCTTTCCATCTCTGTGATTAAGACTCCTCTGTGTCTGTGCCGTTTGTGACGCGTTCCTCATCCTGCTAGGTTTGAAGTTGGTAGTCGGATCTGGAGGCTTGGTCAGATTGAGACTCAGATTTCATTTTGGGGTTGTTTGTGTGGGAACTCTTCTTGGGTGGGCTGTGCGTCCACCAGGAAGCACAGAGGGGCAGGGACGTGATAGCCATCACCAATCACAGCCAGATCTGTGGCTGTTGAGGGCTACACAGGGGCTGGACCTCTGGATCTGGGAGTGGGGGGCACCTGCTGGCCTCTCCTGGGTTCCAGAGTCTGGCCCGACCATCTGAACTTCCTGAGCTCAGGGCACCTGTGAGAGTTGAGGGGGTTTCCAGAGGCGCCATGTTTGTCCTGGGCACATCGTCGCCTCTTGGAAGGGGTTGAGCACTCAGGGAGCTCTGAGGTGGCAGGTCAGCAGTCTGGGTCACTTTTCAGTCCTTGTTCTGTGTGGGTCCCTCAGCCAAGCACTTTGTTTCAACCAGTGTGACCCTGCACCAGCAGTCATCCTGGCTCTTTGCCAGGCTCCCCACGTGCTCTGCAAACTTATTTCTCAGGCTCTCACCTTGGCCTGTGGTCATTCAGAAAACAGTCTTCAAAGTCTTGGACCTGCCCTGCTCCCCACTTGCCCAGAGCTAGGAGGTGGCAGAAGTGAGGTGAGCTTCGGGGTCTCCTCTCTATCAGAAGGCTCACCCAGGTCTCCTCAGCCAGTGCCCCCAACTAACTCTCCTGTGTCTTGTGCTCGAACTGAGGTGTAGTGGCTCCGGAAGCATCTACCTGGGCCACGGCCATGGCCATATGGAGGGGCTGGCCTGCACTCCCAAAAGTGAGCCTGACCCCTCTGCCCGGACCCTCCTGCTAGAGGCAGGACCCTCAGCCACATGGGACGAGGTCATCAGGCCTCTCCTGAGTGGTCCCAGAACGCCGTTCTGTTTGCAGTCTCCACTCTGCAGGAAGGAATGTGTTGTTTAACTAAATCCATGGGGCTGTCCTGAGCCGGACCTCATGCGTGTCTCCCTCTCTCTCCTTCCCCCCCAGTACATCGACGCCATCAGCAACAAGCAAGGGGAGCTGGAGAGCTATGTGTCCGACGGCTACAAGACCGCCCTCACCGAGGAGCGCAGGAGGTTCTGCTTCCTGGTGGAGAAGCAGTGCGCCGTGGCCAAGAACTCCGCCGCCTACCACTCCAAGGTGAGGCGCGGCCAGGCCAGTGTCTGGTCTCGAGCTCTGGAACAAGCAGTGCTAGATGAACGTCTCCATGCATTTTGGGTTTTCTTGGGGATACAGTCCCAGAAAGAGGACCACCAGGTCAAGGTGTGGGCATTTCGATGGCTCACATTAGAAGTTACTGGGCAAGGCCTGGCCAGTTAGCTTAGCTGGTTAGAGCTGGTGCTGGTAACACCCAGTTCCAGGGTCTGATACCTGTACCAGCCAGCTGCCAAAAAAGAGAAAGAAAAAAATCGCCCGGTGTGGTTTTGATAACAGTTGTACCAACAGCCTGCCCAGGGAGGGCCTAGAGGATGGGTCTTTGGGGTCTTTGCCCCAGTGTCTGCGTCTCACTGAGGCCTGGTCTGCTGGGAGGCTGTGGAGGTGCTTGTGCTCCTCGGGGTCTGGGGTCTCCCCGCTGGCTTCCAGGCAGCCTTGCTGTGTGCCTTCACCTGCCCCTCCTGGTGGCTCCCCTCAAACCAGAGTCCTGGGATGTGGCCTCTGGGCTCATGGTTCTGCTGGATCACAGGGCTGAGGGCTCCCAGCTTCACCCCACCCCATCCATGCCTGCTTCACCCCTCGGAAATATGAGTCGATCCCCAGCCAGTCACTCTCCTGGGCACCGGGACACTGCCCTTGAGCTCCATGGAGCTGGGACAACGCCACCACTCCCCCGTCCCCAAACCCAGCCCTGGGAGAGTGCATCCCTGACAACCCTCAGCCGGGCCCTTGGGTCCTGGGCAGCCCTGGGCCCTGCCCAGCACGCTGGCTCCCCAGCTCTCAGGTTATCCTCTCCCCATGGCTCCCTGGGACGCAGACCTTGCCATGTGGTCCTCCTTGGGGTCTCCCGGGCTCTCTGTGCCCTCATCACCCCCACTGGCCCCTGCACCCACGAGCCACTGAGGTTCCCAGGTGGGGCTCGGTGGTGCTCAGCTACATCCTGCTGCCCTCATGAGCCCTGAGAGGGCTTCCTGCCCGCAGGCTGGTGAGGGCCCCTCCTGGCTCGCAGCCTCTGTGCCACCATGGGCCCCCATCACAGATCCTGCACCCCGTGTTTCCTACTGGTCCCGCAGCCTGGCAGCTCCTGGGGGTGGGGTAGGGGATTCTGCTTCACTTAACTAAGACAGCTACGGGCTCCTCTGAAAAGTGGGGTCAGGAGCAGGTGCTGCCCTGGGGGCAGGTGAGGCTCAGAAGACAGAATCCTTTGCTGGGAACAGGCAGGTCAGTGGGGCCTCATTTATCTATAGTCCACAGCAAGAGCTGGGGGGGATCAGATTGTGCCCCCAGGACGTTCCAGAATATCTGAGTCCTTTTTAAGCAAAGGGTTATTCAGACCAACGGGTACGCATCAACACTGGCCCACCTCCACTCTCACACATGCTGTCACGCGTGGTCTGGAACCACAGCGTTGGTCTCCACGGCCTGGGCTACCAAGGAGGCAAGTGTCCCTCCCTCCCTGGAGAGGCTCCTCCGTCTGTCCTGCCTGGGCCTGCTCTGGTGCTGTGGGCAGATGTAAGGTGAGGGCAGGGATATTAGCACCTGCATCCCCTGTGGCGGGGGCACACCATGCTAGGAGGTCTGGCTGGTGTCGAGGTGCCCTGCCCCAGCGTCCTGCCGGGGGAGCATAGTGGGAATGCGGGCACAGCCTCCCACTCGTGCACTGAGCTCTGCGGCAGGCGGGTGCGCCCTCTAGCGGAGGCCGGGCCTGTGCCGGAGCCAGGGAGGGAAAGCACAGGATGGAGGGCAGGAGCGCCAGCTGCTCCTGAGAGCCCTGCCATCTCCCGGGAGGGGATGTGGGATGTGCACATGCAGGGGATGGCAGCCGGGCTCCCCAGCACCCTGCATATCCCCCAGGCATGTCTGGGAGAGGCACATCGCCCACAAGCCCACTTGGACAAGCCCCCTGGCTGGGGACTAGGGCGTAAGGGCAGAGCCCTCCTGGGGCTGTCCTCAGCAGTGGGGCAACTGGGTGCTCCCTGGGGCCTGGGTCTGGACCTACTCTGAGGTGACCTGCAGGGATCTCAGGGTGGAAGTGGCATGGGCTCGTGGCTGTCTGGGCTGCATCTGCCCGCACAGGCTCACAACAAGGCAGCCGGTGCTACCCCCCGCAGCATGGGGGCCATGCTGCCATGAGGCCAGCGTCCTTGGGCATGTGTCCCCTGTAGGGAGCTGCATGCTGACCCTGGGGCCGACCACACTGGTGCTGTTCCCTGTGATATGCTTCCTTCACCACTGCTGCCTTTTTTGTTCAAAGCCCAGACTCGCTCCTCTACCGCCTGTCTAAACCAGGGCTCAGCAGATAGTAAATGTGTTTGGCGTTGTGGGCCATGCAGTCTCCGTCTCTGGCAGTTTCTGTCATTGCAGCGTTAGAGCAGCCACAGATGGTCCCTGAATAAATGCACATGGCTGTGTTCCAGTAAAACTTTATTTACAAAGCAGGCAGCCGGGGTACAGGGGCATTGCTTAGGCTGTGCCCAGCTGTGGGAGTCCACGGCTGGCCCTGACTCTCTGTCCTGCTTCCTCCACTTCAGGGCAAGGAGCTGCTGGCCCAGAAGCTGCCGCTGTGGCAGCAAGCCTGCGCCGACCCGAACAAGATTCCGGACCGTGCTGTCCAGCTGATGCAGCAGATGGCCAACAGCAATGGCTCCATCCTCCCCAGTGCCCTGTCGGCCTCCAAGTCCAACCTGGTCATCTCAGACCCCATTCCAGGAGCCAAGCCCCTTCCGGTACCTCCTGAACTGGCACCATTTGTGGGGGTGAGTCTTTGGCATCTAGAAAGCTTTATGTGGGAGGATGCCCCCTTTGCAGCGGGTTGGGTTGGCAGCTCGTTCTCCAAGGGGCAGGCCCAGTGTGCCTAACCCAGGTCCCTGCTGCAGGGCAAAGGGTGCACTCCTCGCCTGGCCTTGCCTGGAGGCCCCCAGCAACACCCTGCCCCCCCTCCTCCCCCTCTGCAGCGGATGTCTGCACAGGAGAACACACCCATCATGAACGGCGTCGCAGGCCCGGACAGCGAGGACTACAACCCCTGGGCTGACCGCAAGGCTGCCCAGCCCAAGTCCCTGTCTCCCCCACAGTCTCAGAGCAAGCTGAGTGACTCGTATTCCAACACACTCCCCGTGCGCAAGAGCGTGACCCCGAAAAACAGCTATGCCACCAGTAAGGGTTCTGCCGGGGTGCTGGGCTGGAGTCCCCAGATATGCCTCCCCAGGTCCCACAGTAATGTCATCTGAAAGTAGAGGTCCAGGAGACCCCGGGACTCAGGAGTGTGTGTGTGCACGTGTGTGCGTTTTTGCATGTGTGCGTGTGCCTGAGGGCAGTGTGCATGTATGTACATGTGCATGCATGTGGGTGTGTTATGTGAGTGTGCTTTCATATGTGCACGTGCATACATGTGTGCAGTGTGTGCCAGTGTGTGCGCAGCCCTGTGGGGACTTACAGCCTGTACTCCCAAGCTCTGCTCTGCCTCTCCTATTATGTCTGTGGCAAGCAGCAGGGCCATCCATGCACGGGCCACAGGGCACAGGCTCACTCGTTGCCAGATCAGGAGCGGACAGGCAGTGCTGGGGAGACCTTCCGTTAGTTGGGGACAGCTCCTCTAGTCTTATCTAGGCCAATCTGTGCACATTGGCAGCACCTGAAGCCGGGCTCCCAGCCTCCACCCTGGGCTCTGTTTCCCCATTTGCTGGGGACGGGCCCCTCACGTCCGTCCCATTGTCCCTCCCGGCAGCCGAGAACAAGACTCTGCCCCGCTCAAGCTCCATGGCGGCCGGCCTGGAGCGCAACGGCCGTATGCGGGTGAAGGCCATTTTCTCTCACGCGGCTGGGGACAACAGCACCCTGCTGAGCTTCAAGGAGGGTGACCTCATCACCCTGCTGGTGCCTGAGGCCCGTGACGGCTGGCACTATGGCGAGAGTGAGAAGACCAAGATGTGAGTGCCCTTCAGGGCAGTGGTGCGCAGGCGTGCTGGTGGTTCTCGGTTCCTTCCCTAAACTGGTGACCTGAGTCATGGGTTCTCACCATAGAAAAGCCAGGTAGTGAGGACACGCGGGGTCCACGCAAGCCTTCCCACAGCACAGGAGCTCCGTCGCCTCACCGTCTTGTGCACCCCAGTTTGGCACAGGGCCCACACCTGCACGGATATGTACCGCGGCACCCCCAACACTTCCCTGCCATGGGGCGTGTGGCTTCCCACAGTTAGCAGGTGGCAGTGCAGGGCTGGGACAGCCTGAGACCCTGTGACCTCTGTGCCGCCCTGTGGCTCTCTCGCTTGTCCCTGAGTTGGAGTTCTGGGTGACATTCTCAAGTCATGTGGGCCACATCATTGCAGCTTAATTGAATTCCTGGTGCAGAACACCCCGCTCTCACCCAGCCTGGGCACTGTGTGGATCGAGGGCTGCCCCTCCCCAGGCCCCCGTCCTTGTCTGGGTGTGTCTTGGCGAGGTGGGGACATCATCCTCTTAGCAGAGTCACCGTGACATCTCTGTGCGCTTCACAGGACGGGATGGTGTGAACTGAGCTTTGCTCTGGCTTCAAGGCAGCCGCTGCCCTGCGGAGGGGGCGAGGGGTAGGGGTCTCTGAGGAGCATCCCGGGAACCCCTGCCCCCACTTCTCTTCCAGTGGTTTTGGTGCTGTGGCTCAGCATGGCAGCTGGGGGCTGCGTGGCAGGGACCAGTCTGTTCAAGAGCAGCAGCTCTGCTGGAGCCCTGCCAAGGCCCCTGCCCCCCAGTCTTGCGGTCAGCTCAAGCCATCAGGGCAGGGGCAGCTTGAGCCACGTCGTCCTTAGAGCTGAGCACACGCCCAGGTCAGGGTTGGTGTCCCTGGTCTCCCTGGAGCACCTGCACGTGTTCCCTCCACTGACAGTGCAGCCGGGCTGGGGAGTGGGTGGGGCTGGGGTTGGATGGCAGTTGTCAGGAGTGGGGGTGCCGCTCAGTGCCCACCTGGGGACCGCAAAGCTGAGCAGGGCCTCCCCTGGACCTCCCTTGCAGGCGGGGCTGGTTTCCCTTCTCCTACACCCGCGTCCTGGACAGCGACGGTAGTGACAGGTTGCACATGAGGTGAGAGCGTCAGTGGCCCCCAGTGATGGGGTAGGGTGGGCAGGGAGTGCTCTGCAAGGTGGGGGGCCATGTGGGACCACCTATCTAGGTGGAGGGTTCACCCCCACTGCCCAATCCTGCCATCTCACTGGTCTTCCAGCTTCTCCTGGCCCTGGGAGAGTCACTGCTGACCCTGGTGGGGAGAGTAGCTGCTGCGAGGGCTGGGGATTGCTGTGGGACTCACAGCCCCCAGAGGGCCGCCAGCAGGCCACCAGTGGGCTCTCAAGCCCAGCCACTTCTACAGTGTCTGCCCGGTGCCTCTTCAGGCACAGTTCAGGGTGGCCAGCCGCAAGTAGGGAGGGGGACAGGCTGAGTGGGCAGTGGGTCAGCGTGGCTCCCTGCCAAACCCTCTGTGGGGCTGAGCCACTGTGGGGACACGGAAGGTGGGCCCCCCAGGGAACCTCAGCACTTGGGTGGGGCTTCCTGGGTGGAGAGGGCCTGGCTCGAGGGTGGCGCTCTGAGCCGTATCCCTGCAGCCTGCAGCAGGGAAAGAGCAGCAGCACCGGTAACCTACTGGACAAGGAGGACCTGGCTGTGCCGCCGCCTGACTACGCCACGTCCTCCCGGGCCTTCCCTGCCCAGGCGGCCAGCACCTTCAAGCAGAGGCCCTACAGCGTGGCCGTGCCTGCCTTCGCCCAGGTGAGTGGGGCGGGCGGCAGGAGCTGCCGGGTGGTGGCAGGCTCAGCCTGCAGCCCATGTTGGGACCTCCATGGAGGGGCCAGGCACCTGGCACTGGGTAGTGTCGGTCTTTGTCAGACAGGCCTGGTAAGGGCTCAGTGCTCAGGGACTTGTGTCCATTGTGGGTTACTGCTGGACACCTGCCCCACCCGTCAGGCTCCCTTTGTCTGCAGGCTCCTGCCTGTGGGCTGACCGGTGCCACACACAGCCCTCTGCTGGCCATGGTCTGCTCAGTGCCCTTCCCCTGGGTGCTGCATCTGGGCCTTGGGTGGAGCCTGGGGGTCAGGGAGGACTTGCTTTCCAAGAGCCCCTTCCCCAAGAGCTGCGGGGCTCTCTCAGTCAGGCCCAAGTGGGGACGTGAGCACCCTGCTCAGGGTCTTGGGATGTGACCCTGGGGGGTCGGGCCAGTACTGGGAGGCCAGAGGCAGAGGATCGAGGCCTAGGTTTGGGGCCCTAGTGTGGGTCCTGGGCAGGCCCCTGAGCATGTGGCACTCGGTGTCCAGGCTGGGCTTTGAGTGTGAAACAGAGCTCGTCAGGCCCCACCTGGCTCTGTCCAGGGAGGCTCGGGGCTGAGAGGTGGAGGTCTCTTGTCAGCCTGGCGCTCCTCAGCCGACATCCAAGTCTGCTGTAGCCTCAAGGTCAGGAACAGGCCAGCAGCTCTGCCCCAGCCTCCAGCCTCCAGGAGCAGGCCGCAGGCAGGACATAGAGGGAGAAGACCACCCACCTTTTTCTGAGATTTGGGAAGTCTGGGTGACAGTGTGAGCTGGGCCTGTGGGAGGTCACCATAGACAGGCACTGTTCTGTCCAGCAATCGCCCTGAATGGCCTTTCCCCCGAGACAAGGCTTGCCTGGCCACAGAGGTGCCCCAGAGGGGCTGTTTCCAGGGGAGCCTGTGGTTTCAGCAGCACAAACACAAGAAGGGCCAGACTGCAGTGGTGGGGCTGGGGTCCTTGCCTAGAAACTTCCAGAGAAGGCGAGGCTGGAGCTGGTGCCCAGAGCTGTCAACACGTGGGCAGCAGGGTGAGGCGATCCTGCCTAGGGGGAGGTGGGGTGGCAGTCTTTGGCCAGGGAGATGCCTCTGGGTTGGGTTTTAGTGCTAGCGGAGCCAAGGAGGGCGTCCCCACACACTGGTGCCCCCAGGGCCAGGTCAGGCTGGCAGGGACACACAGCCATCCACAGCCAGCCCCAGCTGTGTGCCAGGGCTTCCTCTCCTGGGCAGCAGTGCCTTCCTAGGTCCAGGGATCTGCTCGCCACATGTTTCTAGGAAGCTGCAGCTGGAGTCTGGGGGCTTGGGGACGTGTGGCCCAGGGGCCAGCCCAGGCTTGAGCGAGGCAGGCCCACAGCCACTCTCCCCATATCTCTCCCCCTCCAGCCGCACACCTGTCGGCCCCTTTGAGCCCTCCCCCACCCAGGCTAGCCTGGTTTGAGGTCCTGGCTCTCGGGAGGTACATCACCTGCCCCCGTCCTCCTGCGCCAGGACCTGCAGGTGCTCAGGGGATCCCACTCACCGTGGGAGAGGTGGACTGGGGGCAGTTATTAGGTGGTCAGTCCTGTATGTGCTCAAGAGTTAACTCACAGTCCGCGGTTGGACACTGGCCAGACAAGCAGGTGTCCCAGTTGATTTGGGAGGTCACCGCATCACCACAGGGCCCAAGGGCTCCAGAGAGGCCCCTGCCTGCTCTGGGGTAAAAAGGTGGCACAAGGTGGGGGTAGGGGCAGCCTTCCCAGGGAGCCTGGTCTGAAACCCCCAGGGAGCAGGTTTTATGCATGTGGATGGTGCCAGGCAGGGATCGGGGGCGCTTGGCTCAGGACCCCAGGCTGACCTGTTTCTGCCTTTGCCCCCCAGGGTCTGGATGACTACGGGGCGCGGTCCGTGAGCAGGTAAGGGGGCTTTGGGCTTGTCCTTGGGACCATGGGTGGGTGCACCAGAGGCTGGGTTGGGGACAGGTTTCCTCTCTTGGGACGTCCAAGGCTTCCTTTGGGAGCCCAGCCTGGCCCTGCTCTTCTTTCCTGGAGCCCAGACCTGCCCCATCCACCACCAGTGGGCAAGGGCAGGGATGGGGAGGGGGCCTGCTGCCTCTGACTTCACCTCCGCTGCCTCTTTGGCCCCCATCTGGGCTCAGCCCCGTCCCGGCTTCCCCATCTGCCCCCTCGAGGGCCAGGGGCCTGGGCGGGCTGGCTGACCCAGCACTGCTGGGCGGCGGGCGGCCTGTGGCCGGGCAGCTGGGGAGCAGCCAGGCAGCTGTCTGCTTTGTTTCACAGCGGCAGTGGCACGCTGGTGTCCACAGTGTGAGGACGCTGACCACAGGCAGCTGCTGCTCGGAAGAGCTTCCGCTCCTCCCCCACGTGTCTCCCTCAGTTTCCCTCCTCAGCGCTCGGCAGTTTGTTCTTGGGTGGTTCTGCTCCACCGCCTCCCCCGCCTTTTGGTTGGTGACCCCAGACTCTGTGATCCCCCAGGGTCCATGGTGCTGCTCCATCCACCCCCTCCCCGTGTTTACACGCCCCCACCCCCGCGCGCCCGGCCTTTCGAGCAGAGACTGCCAGGCAGGGGCCGCCGGCCCGGGCAGTGCAGCGGCGCCCCGGCCCGCACTGCGGCGTTCGCGACACCCTCCCCTTTTATAAGGCTCGCCACGAGCCAGGTCTAAAGTTTGAAGAAAAAGAAAAATCTTTAAAAAAAAAAAAAACCAAAAAACAAAAGATGAAAAATAGGAAAAAGGACTTTTTTTTTCCTGGAAAACAAAAACACATGCATGGACTCCGGTGTTCGTACTGTTAGCTTGCATCGACTCCCCGGCGCCGGTGGCCGCTAGCACGGCGGGGCTCGGGGCCATGGAGGCTCACCCGGGGGCCCCCGCCGCCCCAGGCCCCTTCCAAGGACCGCACCAAGAAAGGGGACCTGTGCCAAGCCAGGGGGCCTCCTGAGGAAGCCGGCTGCTCCTGTGAGGGAGGCCATGGCCCAGCCCAGCGTGGCCCAGCAGGCCGGGCCCCTGAGGGCTGCTTTGCTCCGTGGACACTGCGGACAGCTGTGCGCAGACCAGAGGGCATGCCATCAAGCAGCAGGGCCTGTCACCTCCCGCAGTGAGCTGGCAGGCATGGGGGTCAGGCACAGGCACTGCCCGGCCGCACACGGACATTCCAAAGACCTCAAGAGAGCACCCCTACCCCACGTGTTTTGGAAATCGTTTCTTTAACCAGCCTTGTGAGGGAGGGAGTCAGCCCCCTGTGGCCACCTGGCTGCACGGGGCAGGGTGTGTGCAGCCCGCCTAGTGAGGCTGGCCCCAGGAAGGGCAGCTTTGGGCACAGTGCCCCCCATGGCTCCTGCCCGGGGAAGCAGGCAGTCCCTGCCCCGTTCTTCCTAAACGCTCTCGTCTTTTTATGTGTCTTGGTGACTTTAGAAACAAACACACTGGACTCGGTGGCTACTGGTATTGTCTCTTCACACACTGAACTCTGGGCAGTGGAGTCAAGGGCACAGCCCAGCTGAGCTCTGCCCGCAGCGGGAGCCCGTCTGTGAAGCTGTGGACGCTCCTTTTTCTGATGTGATTTAGCAAAACCTTCCCGCACACTTGCCCAGGGATGGGACATGGCTGGTGGTGTTTCTGAGAGAAAAGCAGCTCAAGACACAGCAGACCCTGTTCCCCATTTAAGGAAAACAAGCCAGAACCGGGACCCATGTAAAGAGAGCCTTCTGTGTCGGTGTTGCGACTTTGCTAAAAGATCTCAAATCCAGGGGATTCCATGCTCAGTGGATGAATGTAGACGCAAAACCGCAAAACTTGTACGAAGATGTAAAGAGCTGAAAATATTTTTTTCCTTTTTCCTTTCCTTTTTTTAAAAAAAATCTGAATTGTGCCCTGTACTGCAGTTAGTTGTTTGAATAAAAGTTTTATTTATTGCATCGAGTTGGGTCTGGAGCCTCCTTGCAGTTCCCAGCATGTGTCGGTCATAAGGGCTGTGCCAGGCTGTGGGCGCCTGCGGGTCCCTTCCCTGCAGAGCTCCTCGGAGTCACCTGCTGGAGTAGCCTAGGCTTGCAGACCACGCCAGTCCAGTCGGGTGCCATCACCCTGGCCTTCACTGCTGACTCTGATGGGCGTCCGGGGTGGCCTGCCACCTGGCTGACAGAGCAGGGCCTTGTGGGCTCCGTGCAGGCTACAGAGAGAGCGGGGATACCTGCCCACACCAGCACAAGCCCTCAGTGCCACCTCCGGGCTCGCCCAGCCCCACAGAGCAAGGTGGGACCTGCAGGTGCCCTCCAGGGCCAGGAGCCCCAGCTCTGCCTGCAGCTGGTTCATGTGCTCACGGGCTCAAGGTTTCCACCTGACAGCCTGCACTGATCCACCAGTACCTCTGTCTTCTGTTGGGCCTCTGCGTCCCCGTGGAGTCCTCAGACCCCACCCCGACCTGTGCCCATCTACCAACCGAGCCTTGTGTTTCCTTGCAGCACCGATGTGGAAGCGGCCAGATTTTGAGCTGCCCCTGGCTAGAGTTAGTAAGTTGCCCTGGTTTTCTTGTGCCGTCCCTCTGCACCTCCAACAGCTCTGGACAGACCCTCTGGTCTCAGCCAAGGCAGCCTGGGTGGGGAGGGGCCGGCTGCCTGGCAGGGCCCGGGGGTCTGCTGAGCCTGCCCTGCTCTGGGCACTGGGCCTTCGCTTCCACAGGGGGCCCTCCTTTGGGCTCGTGGGTTTCCTTCCTTCCATCTGGAAGCTGTAGGTCTCGGTTCTGTCTGCTCCCCTCGCTGCTGGGTGTGGGTCTGGCCCTGGTCCTCTGTCCAGTTCTCTGCTGCCCTTGCTGGTGCTTTGGCCACAGTCAAAGGGTGGCCCTGGTATGCAGCTGCAGGCCAGGCCTTTCCCACCTGACCATGCAGCGCCTGACTTTGGTTTCTCTGGGTGTGTGTCCCTTCTCGAACTGACCCTTTGGGGGTGGGGTCGCACCCTGGCCTGGCTGGCTGCTGAGCTGGTGAGCATTACAGCCCAGTAGGGGGCTGGGGGTCAGTGTCCTGGAGACGCTGGAGCGCACATTGGCTCTGCTGGGGACAGGTGGATATGGGGCTTCCACTGCTCCCCTGCCCAGTCTGACCCCTCTCCTCTGCCCCATGTGGTCCCAAGATGCTTCCTCCTCCCCTAGAGGACTGGGCGGTTTGCCTTGTGAAGCCAGCACCTTCCTCCTGCACAAGGACACTGGTCACTCCCCTCCCCAGTGGTCACAGCAGTGTGTCCCAGCCTGCAGCAGCCAGACCACTCAGGCAGATTTTGGACTCTCTCTCTGATCTTGGTGCCTTTTGTTGTTGACGTTGGTGAGCGGCAGCATGAATTCTGGAAAGTTCTGTAGAGAAATGGTCCTGAAATTTGGGGACAGACAGGAAATGCCCCTGGTGGGCCCTGGGCCCGCCACCTTTTTTCCTGCTTCCATCTTCCTTCTCTGAGATGTGCTGTTGGGGAGGCCTGCCCACACGCCCCCACCTTGCTGCCCCCAAGGTCCCTGAGCTGACTGGGGCCCTGCCGTCCTCGCCCGTGGGAGGCCCGGGAAGGCCGAAGGCTGGGGGAGGCTGGTGCAGCCTCTGCCCAGGATCACACCCATTGGTGTGGGGCCGAGACGGGGCATTGTGAGGTGGGGCGTTGGGATGCTGGGGTGGGAGTGCAGCCCTGGCTCCACATCACAGCACCGTGGACCAGTTTCCTGGCCACACAGTCTGCCTGTCCTGACCTGGGGGGGTGGGTGTCGAGGGATTCTCTCTCCACCACCCGCCATGCTTTGCCCTGAGCTGGGCCATGGGAGGGGGTCTCGGAACGGGAATAGAGGGGCGAACACCCCGTCCTGGTCCGCAGAGGCCCGAGCGCCCCCCTCTGACTCAACTCCAGAAGGGCGGAGGCGCTGAAGACCCGGGAAGACCACCCACGTGGGGAGAGGGAAGTGAGCGGGAGCTGCTCCCGGCTCCCGCTCCTCTGCTCGGGGGTCGCCGTAGGGCACGTGATGAGGTGGTTTGTTCTCAGAACTACGCTGCTGCTTATCAGGTCGTTGGTTCAGATCGTAGCTGATTCCCGCAAGCCTGCGGTGCTCTTCAGTTTATGCGGCAGGAGATGGAAGCCGTCGGCTGCAGGGAGTTGACTTTTCCAGGCTGTGGGGTTCGCAGGAGCAGTGGGGACGGGACCCCTGTGATGCACCGTGTCTGGTCATAGGGTTCACAAGTGCTGCTGTGGGGCAGGGGGCACACCAGCCCCCCAGCCCACATGAGGCTCCTCTGGCAGCCCCTCCCTGGCAGGGGCGCCCTGCTCCTGCCTGCCCCAGCCACACCTGCAGCCTACCCAACCCCCTGGGAGTGCACGGCCTCCCACACATGGGAGCCATGGCCACTCCTGCACCTGTGCTCGGGGACCTCGGACAGGATGGCTCCTGGGGAACACTGGACCTCCTGCAATGTGACGCTCAGAGCCGGCTCTGCCCCCAGGGTTCTCCCGCTCTGGGTACTGTCTTGCTGGTTCCTTTGCCAGCATAAGTTGCGCTGGGTCTGTTTCTTGGTGGTTTGCTGCCAGCTGCTTGCCTGATGGTGTGTTGAGAAGGAAGCTGGGCCCTGAGTGTGTCCCTGCTGGAGGATCTGCTGTGTGGCACAGGCTCCCCCTCCCAGACCGAGGCTCTGCAGTGGCCTCAGGCTCCAGAAGTTGCCCTGTTCTGTCACCTCAGTGTTAGACCCCGGCCCCCGCCCAGGGGTCCCACAGGTGCCCCAGGTAGCCCATGAGCACTTTCTTTCACAGACTGTTCCAGAAGGTGGTACAGACACCCAGCCATCCCTCTCAGTGTGGGCCTGCGCTCTCAGCAAGCCTTGGGTGGGGTCTCCCCGGGGGCCTGCCTGCCTCCTGCCAAGTCTTCCCCGCGAGCTCAGGTGTGGCACAGCATGTGCGGGCTTAGCCCTGACTGCTCAGAACCTCACAGTGTAGACAGTTCCGTGACCTCAGATGGTCCCGTTTTGGGGAGGAGACAAATGTGGTTGGAGGACAGAGATCCTCTCAGGTAGGGAGGACTTTGTGTTCCTGAGGTCCTGGCTGCCAATGTGGGTTTTTTGTTTTTTTGTTTTTTTTTTTTGTGAATGGATGCACCGCGCTCAGCCAGTGAGCGCACCGGTCATCCCTATATAGGATCCGAACCCACGGCGGGAGCGCCGCTGCACTCCCAGCGCCACACTCTCCCGAGTGAGCCACGGGCTCGGCCCACCAATGTGGTTTTAATGAGAACTCGGTGTGAGCCAGGACGGGAGTGAGACGTGTCTTCACTCACTTGGCCGTTCAGCCCTCAGCTCTGGCCTGTGCCTTTTTCCAGTCCCAGGGGACAGGACTGCTCTCTCTCCTCTGCTGTGTCCCAGACTCTGAATAGAAAAATGTGCCCGTTTCTAATCTCCTGATCCTGGTGTGGGGACAGATTCGGGTCCTGGAGCCCTCTCCAGGAGCTGGACTCTAGGCAGAGTGAGCTGGCAGGGCCCGGGCCGCCCTGGGCCTGCTGGAGGGAGATGTCACCAGTCAGCAGAATCCTCACTGGTGGACCCCCAGACAGCCCCCGGCTAGCCAGCACGTGAGGGGTGAAGCTCACCTGCCCAGACCGAAGCCCAGGTCTGAGCAGAGCCTGAGGCTCCACAGCGGAGTGGACAGTGGCCTCTGATCCCAGGGCGTCACACTCTAACAAATGGTGTTCGTGTTGCAGGACGCTCAGACATCACTTGGGAGTTAAACGCCATCCACTGGTCCATCAGTACCCTCTCCATATCTTATCCTTTCGAACACTCACAGTCTGAGGTGTTTCAGTTTTTTAGAAAATGCAAAGTTCTCAGAAAAACACAGGGGCGCTCCCCGCCCGTGTGCCTCCTGCTGGGCACACTGGACAGAGCTCCCGCCCTCCTGGGACCCTGCTGTGCCAGAGGTGACCTTGCTCCAGGTAACGGCTCCAGAGCCGCACCGCTCAATTGGAGCACAGTCCTGCTGCTGCCGAGTCTCTGTGTCTACGTGCCATTTGTGCTGACACCCCGTCCTGTGCTGTCCCGCCCTGGGTGGGGGTCCTCCTGAGCCTGGCAGGGACTCCGAGAAGAGGCTTCCCAAGGACCAGGCAGGCACTGCCCCCATCTGTGCGCATCTTGTTCCATTTCAGCTTCCTGTCTCCAGTCCTGTCTGTGCATCAGCTGTGGCCCCAGGGACACAGGGGAGGGCTTCACAGCCGAGGGGGCAGTCAGGCCTCTGCAGGGGCTACGGGTGCAGCGTGCGTGCGCCTCGTGCCGTGTTCCGCGTGTCTGAAGTGTGCCTCTGCCGGACGCCCTGCATGCCTGGGCTGGGCTGGTGTGGCTGCGGGGCTGTCTCTGTGTGTCAACAGACCAGTCCTCATAAAAGGGGCTCGGTGCTCGTTGGTCTTGCTTTGGTGGGAACTTCCTGAACTCTGTCTATTTAGGACTGTCTCAAGTCCTGAGAAGGACCTGGCTCCCGGCCCCCTCCCGGGCACGCCCACCTGTCCAGGCTGTCCTGAGGGTCGGCCTGCCTTGCCTGGGGCAGGTGGGGATGAGCAGAGGGGAGCGGACCTTGTAGACCGCAACCGCCCTGGCCCCCCAGCTGTCTCCACTGCCTACCGCTCTGTGCTGAGACTGGACCCTGATGCGCGTCCCTGGGCAGAGGGCAGCCCAGGCGGCACAGCTATCCCATGGTGCCTGTCCCAAACTAAAACTGCTCTTCTCTCTATTCCACAGGAACCCCTTCGCCAGCGTGCAGCTGAAGCCGACAGTGACCAACGACAGGTCTGCTCCCCTTCTCAGCTGACAGCCACGTCTGCATCGCTGCCTGCCCTCCCCGACCCCCACCTGCCTGGCTTGGCCCCCACTTCAGTCTGGCCTGGCTGGATCCCGGCCACTCTTGGGGAGGTGGCACCTGGGCGGGGGGTGGGAGGGGTGGCCCCTGAGAGGCTGAGACCTGCTGGCTGGGCCGCCGGTGTGGCAGAGGGGCCACCCTGTCTGAAGGCACATGCCTCTGGTCATGGGGGCCAAGGACCCCTGGGTACAGGGGAGGAAGTTCCCTCAGCTCATAGCTGGAAGGGGAGACTGGGCCCCATGCTGCTTTTAGCTCCCACGTGTCTGGCAATAAAAAAGGCTGCCCCTATCTGTGCTCGAGGCGTGATCTGTTGGCCTGTGGGGGCGGGAGGCAGGAGCACAGAGTGGGGCGAGCCTGCCACCCTTGCTCGGAAGACTGATTTATCTTTAGCACTGAGCTTTCCTTGGGGCCCAGTCCCCAGCCCCTGTTGCCTCTAGGCAGGTCCCCGCCTCCCCCTTCCCGGGCCTCCCATCCAGTCGTGCACTGCTGGGGCCTGCAGCTCCCCTAGCCATAGCCAGAAGCAGGGGCCGGCGGGTGCTGTGGCCTGGGTCACCCAGACGTGTGCCCACTTGTGGGTGGGCGGGCCCTTCTGCACTCTGCCTTTGGATTCCCAGGTGGGCCTCAGCCACTTCCTGCTGTGACTGGGTGCCTCTGCTGAAATACGGGATTTTAAAACTTTACTATCAGATTTGAACTATATGACATTTTTGGACAAAATGCAGTGTGGTGACCTGCGTTGGTGACAACAGTCCTTATCTGAGAAGTCCCAGGCACAGCTTATTCCTCACAGAACCTCCAGGGAGGCGTTCTGGAGCCCCCAACCCACCTGCAACTGCCCACACACTGGGACAGGAAGCCGAGGGGCTGGAAGCTGGACACTGGCCAGGGGCGGTATGCATGGGAGCCCCAGGGCCCTAAACTCTCCTGCTGCCCACTGCACCCAGCCCTGGGCCGGGGCAGGCACAGCCCCTGTGGCCCACACTCCTCTTGCTTCCCAGGCAGGGCCAGCTTTGGGGACAGGAAAAGAGGGCTGCAGGGATGGGCAGACCTGCACCCAGGCACGGTGGGGGCCCCGGTTACCATCTTCCTCCACCAGGGCCTGCCACGGACAGTGGGTTCCCATGCTAGCCACGGCCCATCCCTCCTCCTGCCTGGGGCTTTAGCTACAGATCCCTGAAGAAAACACACTTAGCACAGAGGCTTTTTTTTTTTTTTTTTCTTAGCTTGATTTGTCTTAAAAAACAAAGAAATGGAAAAGGAACAAGATCACTGCACCAGCATCCTGAGCCTCAAACTAATAAGAAACAAAAAATACAAATACAAGCCCTCACCACCCCCAAAGCAACAATAAACTTTACATACGTCTCTTTGGCAACAATAACTTAAAATCATCCACATCCATTCGCTCCAGCAAAGGCGATTACAAAAATACTCCCTGTGCTACCGCCAGTTCGACCCTTTCTCTGCGGTCACCGTCCCTGCAGGCAGGAGCTCCTGACACTCACGGTGAGGTGCAGCCCCATCTCCTCTGGCAGCTAGGTTCAGGGCCTGGCAGTGCCTTGCAGAGGGGAGCTGCCCGCACTGCCCTGCCAAGGACACCTCTAAAAGGGGGCCCGTGGCAGCAGGGGTGCGGCCCAGAAGCCTCCCACTCCCTGTCTTTCTGGCTGCCCACTTTTGTGGCCCACCCACCCGCAGCCCGGGCTCCGGCAGTGGGACCCAGGCAGGAGCAGCCCAGACCCTGTGTGGAAGGAGGCCTTATGGGGCAAGTGAGTCAGGGAACAAAAACACAGCCACAGACTTTGAGATTAGGGTGACAGGGGACACGGGAGCCCAGAGTCCTCTCCTTGCACCGAGCAAACCCAAAACCAGGCAAGAAAAGCAAAGGGAGCAGGAAGGGGCTTGCGAGCCTCCTGTCGTGAGGCCAGTGTCCTGGGAGCACACTGAGGGGCCAGCTGGGCAGGGCATGCAGGCCCCTTGGACAAGAGCAGTCTGGCCTCAGAGGTCAAGCAGCCCAACAGCAGCAGCCAGGGGAAAGGGCAACTGCAAGGTGGGGAGCCACCTGGCCTAGGGGTGTGAGGCCCCTCTTGAGTGTTTATATGTGTGTGTACAGACGCCCACGGGCATCCCTGGGAGCTAGCAGCAAACCAAGTGTCCAGGACACATTCTGCCCCCAGGGCAGCACAGGACTGGCATACGCAGCCCATCTATGTCCAGGGCCGGAGAGGAGCCTCTCCTCCCACTTGCTTCTCCAGCACGTGCATGGGGCACCGAAGCACTGGAATCTGCTGCCCACAACTGCCAGGACTTCAGTCCTCTCTTATTCTTGGTCACCTGGAAAAGGACGGGCAGGGGCCCCGGTGACCTCAGCCTCTGGTGGAGGGGAGCTGCCTGGGTCTTAAGCCTCTTTCCACCCGCCCCCCACACTTGCTGCAGGGCCTAGCAAAAAGGAGGTGCCACATGAGCATGTTGGGAGACACTCAGAGTCCCCTGCCCCATGACTCCCACCTAGCCTCCATCCCTGGCCTACACACAGGCCATCACTGCCGCAGGTCTCTGACTAGGTGGGAGGTGGGCCCATACCTCACACGAACCCAGACCCAATAATGCTCAGCAATTGCCGTCCTAAGTCCTTCATTTACAGATGGGGAAACTGAGCCCTGAACGGGAAGAGGCTGGCCAGGGTCATGCAGTTGCTCCCGGTGACCTGCCTGTTTGTTCAGACACACCTGAAGGGCACTCTGTGCCAGGGGTGGGGCAGACAGCTCCCTCTCCCCACCCCCAGGCTGCAGCCACAGGCCAAGGGCAACTGGGCTGGGTTTACGTGGGTGGGCGGTGAGATGGCATGGAGGTTTCTGGCAGCAGGTGGGCTTTGAGGGAAGCCTAGCAGGGCATTAAGAGACCTGTCAGGCACGTGCGTGGAGGTGTGGCGGGAGGGGGCCCTGCAGAGATGAGCCCAGCCTGGTACTGAAGCTGACAGCCAGGTGGGGCATGACCGGGAAGGGTGGCTTAGGGCACCCTGATGCCAAGGGTCTTAGCCACTGGCCAGACCCATGCCCGGGGGGTAGAGCACCTGCAGGGGCGAGAACCGCCAGGTGTGAGATGTGCCCGTGGGTGGGGGCGGCTGTGAAAGAGGAAGACTCTGGTGGGAGAGGCTGCAGCAGGTTTGGGGAGCCAGGGTCGAGCTACGGGAGTGGGTAGGGGGCCCTCAGTGTCCAGCCGGTGCTACGTGGCGGGGAGGCGTCAATGGGGTCCAGTCTGGGAGCCCAGACGGTGCTGGGCCAGAGACTCTGCACGTGCCCGGAAGATGCAGGGAGACAACGCCGCCGGCCCAGGGTGCAGCTGACCCCGGGCAAGGGCCGTAACCTCTGCCTCAGTTTCCTCCCGCGGATGCCCCTCCGCCCCACGCCCCGCGACTCACCTCCCACGGAGTCGGCGTCCAAGTCGGACACGTGGGTGATGGAGAAGCGGCTCGCGGGCGCTGGCGACACGGTGAAGCGCGGGAAGGCTGCGGCGGGGGCGGACGTGGGGGCAGGCGCGGGCGCGAAGCCGT